TATCCTGTTTCAGCTGCTTTAGAAAAGTAGATGCTCAGCCTTCCGGAACCTTTTCTCATTGTATTTTCCTTCCCTCATTCCCACGTGAGGACAGCATCTTGTGATCTTATCCCTAGGGACTGAAGTTACATCAAACCAGCCTCTCTGGCCCCTGTCTGCCTAGTGTGATTGAAAAGATTCAGGGGAAAAGTCAAGGAGGGTAAGAAAGCAGGATTCTGAAGGCCTTTGTAGATCCTATGTAGATGGAAAAGGTGTGTGAGTGTGTGTGTGTGCAGTGTGTGTAGCATGTATGTACAGTGTATTGTATACTGTGTATATACAGTGTGTGTGTACTTCAGTGTGTGTATGTGTTGTGTGTGTAATATGTGTGTGCTGTGTGTGCAGTGTGTGTAGTGTGTATGTACAGTGTGTGTGAGTGTGTGTGTAGTGTGTATGTGTGTGTGGTGTTTATAGTGTATGTGTGAATGCATGTGTGAGTGTACATGTGTAGTGTGTATGTGTGGTGTTCATTGTGTGTGTGTGTGTGTGTTTGCATATAGAGGACAAGGACCTTTGATCCTTTCTATTAAGTGTTTTAAAAAGGGTAGAAGGAAGGCTGGTCACTGGGATCAATTTGTTCTAGTCTCATCACAAAGCAGGATCCCTCAAGGGATCAGACAGATTTAAACAATAAACGAACTGGTAATTATCAAGATGAATCAAAACCAAAGGTGTTTTCTGAACTTTCTCAACACTATGCTTGTATGCTTCCTCAACTGTTGCATAATCTGAAGGAGGGAAGGAGCTTCCTCAAACAAAGTTGAAAATATGATTTTCCACCAACCTGGTAGATATTAAACTAGAGTTCAAATTAATTAGACTCACCAAATGAAATTATGCAGCTCCCGGTAGTGGTAAACACCCTGGTTGCTGCAGGCTGCATTCCGATTCATAAACTAGCACTTCATCTGACTCTAGGTCATGAATCCACAGAGAACACTTGTGTTTTAACTCAGAAAAGGTCCAGACTATGAGCAGACGCAGACAGACAGTTGGTGTAGGAACACAGGCAAAGTTATGTGGGATCAGGTGAGCTACAAAGCTACAAAACTGGAAAGGGCACTCTGTCCTGCCTTTATCTGAAGACAGGTATGCCTGTGTTACAACGAGTTATGCAAAATGACCATTCGGGGTCTTTGCAGGCAACCTGCACTCATGGAGGTACAAAATGAACACCATCAAAAACACCATAGTTAAAAGCTTTCTATAAACACGGTCTAAACGTAGATGTCTTCAAGTCAGGAAATGAATAAGTGTAGTGGGATGCCCTGGTGTTTTTGATAATTTTAATTGCAATTGTAAAAAAAAAAACTTGAAGAAAACCTGAATTACAAGTTGCTAGTACTTTGGAGGGGAGAAAGCTGATCTTAGGAGACATTTTCTGATTAAAAAAAAAAGACTTATTTACTTTGTGTGTGTGTGTGTGTGTGTGTGTGTATGAGTGTTTTGTCTGCATGTGTGTATGTGTTCCATGTGTGTGCAGTACCCACAGAGGCCAGAAGAGGGTGTCAGATCTCCTGAGGCTGGAGTTACTAGTGGTTGTGAACTGTCATAGTAGTGCTGGGACCTGAATCCAGGTTCAAGAGCAGCAAGCACTCCTCACTACTGAGCCTTCTCTCCAGCTCTGTCACACATACCTTTAAAACATAATTATAAATCAAAAGGACAGGAAGGCTCTTTATAGTTGCTCACAAAAGTCAGCTAAACACTCTGGATGATCATATGAATTGGATTTATATATCTCTACAGATCTCTCTCTCTCTCTCTCTCTCTCTCTCTCTCTCTCTCTCTCTCTTAGTTTTTCAAGACAGGGTTGCTCTGTATAACAGTCCTGGATGTTCTGGAACTTGCTCTGTAGACCACGCTGAACTCATACTCAGAGAGATCTGTCTGCCACTGCCTCCTGAGTACTGGCATTAAAGGTGTGTGCCACCATGCCTGGTGATTTCTTATTTCTTTAATATAGATTATGACTTGAAGATTTTTTATTAGTATGTTATAGTATAGTTTACTTTCCTCCTTACGGACTGTGTGTGTCCTAGTCACCCAAGGAGACCAGTTGTAGAGTCTTACAGTAGGGACAAGATCCCCCCTAGTGACCACAGAGATCACAGAGAGGATGTGGCTGGCTGAGAACATTCCTTTCTTGGTATTTTCAAGACTGGATAAGGCAAACTTTAGGAAGGCACTGATGTTGGATTGTTTTCTTTATGAATATCCTGTCGAGATCAAAGGACCAGACCGTATGAGGGTAGACAGGCAGGGAGAATGGGGTCAGCAGATTTCTCAAAAACACCCATTTCCTGTCAGTCTTTCTAAGAGGCAGACTATGACTGAGTGGAGGGAGAAGCTGCTGTAGATGGTAAAGAGGGGAAAATTCATTCCTCTTTACAAGCAGGGGAAAATGCTGTCCCATTGTGCTTCTCTGTTGTCATAAAAAGCGCTAACCAAACCCAAGTCAGTGAGGAAAGGGTTTACTTCTACTTACATTTTCTAGTCCATCACTGAGGGAAGCCGGGCAGGAACTGAAGCAGAGACCATAGAGAAAGACTGTTAACTGGCTTGCTCTCCATGGCTTGCTCAGTTTGCTTTTTTATACAACCAAGAACCACCTCCCTAGGGGTGGCATCACCCATAATGAGCTAGCCGCCCACCCACCACAACCACATCAGTCACGGATCAAGAAAACGCCCCATAGATTTGAGTGGAGGCCCATCTGATGGAGGCATTTCTCAACTGAGGTTTCCTCTTTGAAGATAGTTCTAAGTTTGTGTCAAGTGAACAAAAACCAACCAAGACAGATGTGGAGTGGGAACCTCAGCATAAAGTGTCAGAGCTGGTTCCTGTCCTCCGAGGGGACAAACGGCTCTCTCATAAACCCTAGCGCAGTTCTGAGCCTAAGGTCTCAGAGAAGCCACATCTAAGCCTACTATGAGCTTGTTCTGTCTATAGTTCATCTCATTGAGTTTCACGACATATTCTTGTCATCTTAGTACTGGATGGGCTGTGGGGATTCAATGGAACATTGGGTTGGTCCCTTGAAGGGGCCCTGGTGTTCTTTCCCTGAGGCTAGAATTGGAGATACAGTAATGCACCAATAACCAACCATGTCGTGAAGCATTGGCACCAGTGTTAGGCTAGGCAACAAAATGGAGAAGAGAAGGCTAATTAAACATACATGAGACAGTCTCAAAACCACCGGGGAGTTTCCTTGTGAGTTCAGGCCATGCCACGCTCTAAGTTCACACATGTTGTGTAAGCCGCTGGCAAGCTGTGTCTTGCCTGGGGCAATTACTTTTACCAGAGGCATCTGACTATGGTTTGAGTTCAGAGGTAGAGGTGGGATGACGCCACATCCTGTCGTGCACACAGACACCATCACCAGCCTGTGGGCACCACCCACCAAGCAGAGACTGATAGGTGACCTATTCCTGAAGATAAAAAGGTACCATTTATAAACTCATCGAAGTAGTCTAGGCACGTGGTGCCCAGATGAACACAAGTATGCTCAAAACTAAAGGTCTGAGAACTTCCTGAGCACACTGGCAGATGAGGGATGTAACATCCTCATCCGTGTCCCATGAAGAAGAAGATGCCTAACACTGCAAGGGCCACAATCCCAGCAGCTTGTTCTTTGACTACCGGTGTAAGCATCCACCAATAAGAAGGGAACACCTAACTAGCCCAAGTCACCTCTGCTTGGCTTTTAAGGCCATTGTGTCGAGGGTCCTAGCGATTGACAGTAAAACAACCAAGTCCATGCCCACTAGTCTTACAGAATTCACCTTCCCAAATTTCTGAGGTTCCAAGTTAGGAGCAAACTGGGTGATAATGACAGAAGCCAGACAGAATTGCAAATATCACCCTGGGTATGATGGCAGACTGCCGTAACCCCCAGTGTCTTAGTTAGAGTCACTATTCCTGTAATAAACAGCATGGCCAAAAGCAGCTTGTGGAGGGAAGGGTGTATTTGGCCTTACAGAGCCTGAACCAGTCTAATGAGGAAAGCTAAGGTAGGAACTCAGTCCACTGGGGAACCTGGACACAGAAGCTGATGCAGAGGCCATGGAGGAGTGCTGCTTACTGGCTTGCCCCTCCTTGCCTGCTTTCTCATAGAATCCAAAGCTACCAGTCAAGGGGTACTACCATTCACAAGGGGCTGGGCCCTCCTGCATCAGTCACTGATCAACAAAATGCCCTACGGATTTGCCTACAGCCCATTGTAATGGAAGCCTTTTCTCAGTTGAGATTCCCTCCGCTCAGGGGACGCTAGCTTCTGTCAAGTTGACATAAAACCAGCCAGCACGCCCGGCTGTTAGTTGGGACAAGCCGGGCAAGATAGGGAGATGCCCACCTGCGAATAAAACAACAAATGAACCTTATTTTTGTAATGGTCACTGGTAAATGTGGCTTCAGAATTTCAGCCAAGTAGTTTACCAATCTGTTACTTTTCAGTTAGACATAGTCACCTAGACATTGGCTTATCAGGATCTCTAGTGGCTTTCTGCCTCACCTTCTCCCCATCACACAACTGTCCCCAGGCACAAGACCCTAGTTGAAAGAGAGAGAGCATCTCCACTCTAATGCCAGGGAAGTTTTTTTCTCCAAAACTCACTAATCAAGACACACCTTCCTTCACGTGAACGAGGAACACGGGAAGACACCTGCCATGTAAGGGCAGCTGATCAATTATGAAGACATACATCTATCTCGCCTCTCTCCATGCTGCTATTAAGTTTTGTCTTTTATTGCTTTTCTTTTGCCTTGGCCTAAGCAAAACTTCTCATGAAACCCCGCAATTAAATACTTTTTAGTATATGTGAGAAAATTTTCCCTCCGTGAACCTGCTTAAAATAACACACATGCAAAGATACGGACTCACACTTGGAGCTGTGGCACTCCGAGAAGCTGATAACGCCAAAATGAGCGAATGCCAACAGAAACAGGCAGCGCAACGGAGCTGCAGGGAAACAGGAACTAGCAGTTTTATTGTATAACGGAGTTCCCTGATTCTTCCCAGAGTCGCAGCAATTCGTGCAGGGTTCCCGAGTCCAGTGTACCCGCTAGCTATTTTCGCCTTGGGCGATGGAATGCCAAACATAAACAACCTGAGTGAGAACGGATTTGTTTGGAGTCACGGTTTCAGAGCCTTCAGTCCCAGACGGCTTAGCACAGGCATTGGACCGGATGTCCTGGGCACGGGAACAAAGGGAAGAGCGAGTGGAACAGACTGAGCTCCGCTTCTTGGTGAAGAGGGACCAGAGAGCAGGGCTGGACAAGCCTGAAGGGCACGTGCTGGAGACTAACTTCCTCGGCTGGATGCCGTGCTCCACCCTTCGTCGCTGCCAATAAATATCATATTAAAAACACGTGAAGCATGAGCCCACTCATTAGGTCAGCTCCCTCACGATCTAATGGTCTGAAAACATCCTTCCAGCCAGGAGTAAGCTGTACAACTCTCATAAGCATTTCTTAGACTCACCACATTAGTAATTAAGAGCAATCCTGACAGTTCTGGGACTTGAAGCTTAAGAGTGTTTCCTGACCTATTCCTTATCACAGGATGCCTTGTTCGGCTGGATGCAGAGGGGAGGAGCTTGGTCCTGCCTCAGCTTGATAAGCCACACTTTGCAGACTCCCACGGGAGGCCTTATCCTTTCTGAGGAGCGGATGCAGGGGGGTTGGGGATAGAATGAGTTGGGGGGGGGAACGGCGGAGGACTGACTGTGGTTGGTATGTAAAATAAATTTTTTTTAAATATTTATTTTTTATGTACGTTGGTGTTTTGCCATGAGTGTTGGGTCTCCTGGAAGTAGAATTACAGACAGTTGTGAGTTGCCATGTGGTGGCTGGGAATTGAACCCGGGTCCTCTGGAAGAGCAGTCAGTGCTCTTAACCACTGAGCCATCTCCCCAGCCCCCTGTAAAATAAATTTTTAAAAAAATCTAATAATACAGAAAAGAGTATTTCCTATTATGCTATGATCCATGGAGGCAAATTTTTGTTGCCTTATTGTTTACTCTCCTCAGCTGTGGTGACAGCAATGACTGCTGGGTTCCTTTCTCTCTCTCCTTCCTTACCTGGTAAGAGCTCGTGGCAGAGACATCAAAGCCTGGACTAGACAAGATGTAATCTCAGAAACACACCAAGGTGAGGAGGGTTTTGGTATTTGGATTTGCTCCCAGTGCCTGTCACAACATGGCTGGCTCAGTCAGTAGGGCAGGAGACCCTTATAGTTGTTGTTGCTGTTTGTTTGTTTTGTTTGCTTGTCTGTGTAAACCAAGCTGGCCTGGAACTCAGAGATCTATCTGCCTCTGACTCCCAAGTGCTGAAATTAAAGGTGGGCACCACCACCACCTAGTGAGACCCTTACTTTTTGAGACAGGGTTTCAGTGTATCCCAAGCTGGCCTCAAACTCACTTAGTAGCAGAGGATGACAAGACATGGCCCTTTTGATCCTACCCCCTGAGTGCTGAGATAAGAGACATGATCTACTAAACTGGGTAGTTTATGCAGCGCTGCAGATCAAATCCAGGTGACTGGGTGACTTTGCTATAACTTCATGCATGCTGAACACTCCACCAACTGAATTATATCCCCAGCCAGTGTATCACACTCTTTTAAATGCTTTATATTAGCACACATTAACCTTCTAAAATAATGAATTTCATTATACTATTTTCATACATGTATACAATGCATTTTGATCCTAATCATCACTGTATCACTGTCTCTTGTCCCCCGCCCTTTCCATAACCTTCCTTCTCTCTCTTTCCATCTAGTCCCCTTTACTTTCATGGTGCGGGAGAATTGTTGTAATCTGTCAATCATATTTTAAATAAATGCTGATTGGCCAGGTAGGAAGTATAGGAGGGTCAACCAGACAGGAAGTAGAGGCGGGGCGATGAGAACAGGAGTATTTCTTCTGGGAAGAAGTAAGCTCTTCCGCCATTCCTGCCCAGACCACCAAAGAGGCAACATGTGAGCTGTCACGCTGAGAAAGGTACTGAGCCACATGGCTAACACAGACAAGAATAATCATGGGTTACTGTAAGATATAAGAATTAGTTAATAAGAAGACTGAGCTAATGGACCAATCAGTTTATAACCTAATGTAGACTCTGTGATTTTCTTTGGGACTTGCCGGTTGTGGGGTACCAGGCGGGACAGAAACCCCTACAAGCTGGCCCCTCATGTTACACTTTCATGTCTTTTTGTTTGCACATGAACAGTGTCTGTGCATGTGTGTGTGTGTGTATAGCATGTGTGTGCAGGAACATGCATGTATGTGTATACATTCATGAGAAGTCCAGCGATCAATACCAGGTGTTTCCTCCTTTCTTTTGAACCCCATGTCTTTTGCAAGGGGAGGCAATACTGGGAATTGAACTCTGGACCTATGAGCATGATAGGGAGGTGCTCTAGCATTGAACTACACCACAGCCCTTCTGCTGTATCTTTTGACAGGGAGGGTCACTAATAGAACACAGCACTCACTGATTGGCTAGACTGACCGGCCAATGAGCTCCTTGACTCACTTTTCTTCCTACCTCCTGTGCTGGAGATCCAAACTGAGGTCCTCAGGCTTACACAGTAAGACCTTTACCGACTGAGCCACCTCCCCATCCATGTTTTCTTTGTTTGCCACTGGTGACCCAATGGGTTTCATTAGTGTTGTTGACAAGAACATGGGTGAAGCATTATTTACAGGTTTATGCAACCCCTTGTCAGAGGCTACACCACTGAAGAAACTGTCTCTTCCTCTCCGAATCAATCACTAACTACACATAATATAAATCTTCAGAGATTTATATTTATGGGATTCCCTTCCCTGAACATGAGACTTGGGGGAGGGTGTCATAGAACCATTTCCTTTTATGCTTTAAGCATAAATTAGAGAAAGGAAAGCACGTGGTTTCTCCCTACAATCCCACACTTGTGTTCCTTCTGTGCCCCTGTGACTGCTTACAACTGTTTCTCCAGAAGAAAGGGAGAGTGGACTGGGGTAGCTTGCTTGCCCCCCGAAGTGCGAAGCAGTTATGGTGGCAGCACTGGCCTTTCTTCACCATAATGGAAGTTGTCCCAAAGGGCCCTGACAGAAGTGAGGACAGGGCTATGTTACTGCAACAGCTAGAGCTACACAAAGCACCTTGTAATCTGGAGTACTAGGCCATCTTCATTGTCACTTAAAATGTGAGTGTGTGTGCGTATGTGTGTGTACACAGGCATGTGGTGGTGGGGGTCTTACCAAGTATCCCAGGTTGACCTTGAACTCACATCCTTCTGTCTCAGTCTCACAGATGTTAGAATACAGGCTTGTGTCACTACACCCAATGTCAGCTTTATGTTTCAATGTGGCCAGTGAGGTTGCGTGTTGGGCTTGAGGTTGCTTTGGTTTTGGGTGATGCTGGGGAACCAGACTCAGTCCTCATCCCTTTACTCCTGAGTTAAACCTCCAGCCTCTACAGTGTTTTTAGAAGTGAAAAAACCAGGGCCAGCATGGCGATTCACTGGGTTGAAACTTGTTACACAAGCCCGATGCCCCGTGCACAACCCTCCTTCACCCCCCTGTGTCTTATACAACACATACAACAGTAATAAAAGAAATTTAAAATGATAAATCAAGATACAAGCAGCAGCGGTTACATAGATGCTGTGTCGCAGATACATCCTGAAGAAACCTACACTTTGGGGCCTTCTCTTAAAGGCTGCGTGGGAGGGAGGAGCTCCCCATCGTCAAGCATAAGGATGAAACTGAGGAAACTTCTGTATGGAACAGTTTCCTAGACTCACCGCCAGGGGTCCTGCTGCTGCGGAAGGCTGGAGTGAAGAGAACATCCCCCAGAGACCTGAAACACTGCGGCGCTAGGTCTGTAGAACAGACCTGAGACACTAGGCTCATCACCGCCGCGCTGGGGAGCTGCTTTTGCTACGGTGCACACTTGTCTCTGGCGCCTATGACTGTTTCCCCTTCTGTCATATGTCTCCCAGCTTCCGGCCGTCACAGCGCGACGCTAGGAAGAGCAACAAGAACAGTCGGTCAAGGGCCCGTGCTCATGCTTCACTCTGGCTCTTGTACTGGGATATTAGTACACGTCTGTGGAGTTGTGGCTTCCTCACTCACTATTCAGCTAAAGAATTAAAGATCAGCTGATTTCCACAGAATCCCAAGGTTTACGCATCTGCTATAGACCGGATGATTCAATGAGCAATGCAGGGCGGAATAAACCATAGCAGACTTAACCCACTGCCTCTTCCAGGGACCAAAGCAGCTGGACTCCAAATAGTTGCTTTATAATTTGGATCTCAAGTGTAGGTTCTGTTGGACAGATTGACCTCACTGGTTATTTTCCTGGGAACAAAGACATGACCCAGTGAGTACAAGCACTTGTGAGAATAAGAGGACCGGGGGCTGGGAAGATGGCTCAGAGGTTAAGGACACTGCCTGTTCCTCCAGAGGACCCGGGTTCAATTCCCAGCACCCACATGGCAGTTTACAACTGTCTGTAACCCCAGTTCCAGGGGATCTGATACCGTCACACCAATTCACATAAAATAAAGTTTAAAAAATAAATTGAAAAGAAAATAAGAGGACCTGAGTTCAAATCCCCAGCACCTCCGGAAACTAGATATGGCCTGTGAACACCTACAACTCCAGTTTTGGGAGGAGGCAAGTGGATCCCAGGAACTTGCTGGCCTCCCAGCCTAACCTAAATGGTGAGCTTCAGATTTGATGGGCCTTGTAGTGAATGATATAGGAAGGTCCTGACACACTCCTCTGGCCTCTGAACACATATGCACAGTTATCTGCACACACCCCTCCCCCATGAGATTTCAGGTCTCTCAAGCGTTTTTTTGGTTCTCATTCCAGAAATCCCAGGTGGAATATCTGGCGCCATCCTTCTTTGTGTGGCTCTCTTACACCACTCCAGTCCATGGTGGCTACTATATTAGCTTGGGGGAAAGATTCGCTGCTAGGACTCAGACTGTCTGAGGATCCAGGGGTGTGAATATCTGCCACAGGCAGTGTGACAACAGATGAACATTGTGACATTGTGACAATCAATAGCTGTCTAGATCTCTGCCCATTGCTTCCAGGGATGGTCCCCACCTCTATAAAGAATAATGATAAAAATCATAAAAGACTTTTAAATGAAGGAAGGCCTAAGGGAAGGGAAGATGGAGCGCTCTGCCTGGGGAGTGGATGCGCAGGCACGGCAGGCACATACCAATGATCTCAATCCTTGGGGAGCGATGACAAGAAGGCAGGGAGTCATAGGACCACTAGATAAGGGCTTGCATGCAGATGTTTCCCTTGCCTCCCCGTTCCTTTTTTATTACTACATCTGTTTATTTGTTTGTGTTTATATGTGTGTGTGTTCTAGTATTGCTTTAAGAGGCAAGGCCTTGCTGTGTTGCCCAGGCTAGCCCCAAATGATGGGTTCAAGCAGTTCTCCTGTCTTACCCTCTGATGTAACTGGGAATACAGGTATGTGTACCCATGCTTACGATTTTTAAAGGGACTTCAGGAAATCTTTCACGTGTCACTTAATGAAGATCAAATATAGTAATACTGACATGAGTGTGCTTCATATACGCTATGTGTAAATTCTTCAGGTCAGTGGTTGGAGTTCAAGCAACTCCATTGTAAACAGTTTTTAAAGATTTTTAAAAGTGTGTGTGCGAGGTTTATGTACAGGAGTGCAGTGCCTAGGGAGGCCAGTAGAGGGTGTCAGATTACCCAAAGCTGGAGTTACAGGCTGCCCGATTTAGGTGCTGGGAATCAAACTTGGGTTCTCTGAAAGAGCAGCAGTTGCTCTTAACCACTGAGCCCATAAATAATGATAAAACACCTAAGGTTTCTGCTACAGAAAATAACTGGTTCCAAAAACCTGCATTCTGCAGTGAAGCAGAGGCCACAGCGATTATGTTCACTGGAGAATCCTGTCTAGGGAAGCTGGGCAGAGCAACTGAGCAGAGCAGCTGGGTAGAACATCTGGGGAGAGAATCTGGGCAGAAGCTCTTTTGACTCTGGGGATGAATTGATAAAACCGTGCTCCATACAGCTGCTGGCTTATGAATATCACATAGAAGACTGTCGTTAGAACATCTCCCTCTGTCTACAACACCTACACTGCTCCAAAGTCCCTGCAGACAAGCTATCACCAGCAGCTGCCAAACCCACAGGCATGTATCCACAATGCCAGGATACGAAGAGAAGCACACAATCCTGGACCAGTAACCATCTGAGGAGAGGAACACTGGGAGAGATGTGGAGCTTAGTGGATGATCAACAAGAAACAAAGCCAACACTCAAGGGAACAGTCAAGACAAGCAAGGAAGACTTCAGATCATAAATATTTTCAGTGAGATAAGACCTTATCAATATACTCATATATCACAAGATAGAATTATTTTTAGTTGTTATCTTTTGTTGTCTTTATTGTAGGAACTTTAAAAGCTCAACATACGGACCTAATATAGGAATAGACAAATTAGAAGAGGAAATAGTAGCTATAAAACCTGGGTAAAGAAATTTCTAACAGTCTGGCATAATCCAGAAGCTCTGCTATCCAGGTCAGAAAAGGACTAAAAGGAAGATGATATAGTCACTGAGCTAATAAAAAGGGAGAAAGAAAGGGGACGAGAAGGTAACACCCAGGCACACACACGCACATACACGTGCACACACACATGCGTGCACACATGCACACACATGTGCGTGCACACACTCATGATTATGGAAGGAGGGAAAAGAATAAATGGAAGAGAAAGGGGGTGAGAGTAAAGAAAGGAGGGAAGGAAGAAGGAAGCAATCAGGTCAATCAAAGGAAAGACAGATTAGCCATCCCTGGAGAAAGACAATCGTCTGCAGATGAGGGAGCTGAGCTGGGCATCACCGGCTGTGCCTGTAATTGCAGCAATTGGAGGTAGAAACAAGAAATCAGGAATTCAAGATCATCCTCAGCTATGTAGACAGCTTAACGGCAGCCAGATAGCTAGGACCTGTCTCAATCAAATGTGTGTGTGTGTGCGTGTGTGTGTGTGTGTGTGTGTGTGTGTGTGTGAGGTATTTTGTCACAACAGTGCAGAAGTGTCATACCACGCCCTTGCATTTCCAGAACTGTAAGCCAAAGAAACCACTTTTTTCTCCATGAAGTCACTCAGTCATGGACTTGTCATCATAGCAGTGAGGGAATGTACTGGTTCACGAGCCCATACCTCTTGTCACTGCTGCATACCGTCTTGTCTTCAGAGGCAAACCAGCTTGGAACTGAAATGGTTTCCAGGAATGACAGGGCAGGGAGAAGCAACAGATCTGGATTTCGGCTGCTGTCGTGGGGCTGACGAGCCAACCGACTGGAAGTCTGTTATGCCTTTGGGATTTCAGCTATGATCTAAAAATGTCCTGAAGGTTTCATAGCACTTTGAAATGGATTTTTGATCACTTCAGCCCATTGCCTCCTAACTGGTGCAATACCAACCGCAGCATCGTTAGTAATAGAGAAAAGTAGCCAAGCAACCAAAATACTTACAAACAGGGAAGTAAATCAGTCAACTCTGCCATCTCTGAGGTAGGCAAGCAAGGGAGATGCTTGAACCTGGAACCCTACTTGATTTGGGTGATGTATGTGCTCCCCTACCCACTCTGCAATAATGCACTTGGGCTGACTTTCTTCTTTACCTGCACATACGTATATGAACACACAGCCCTCTCCAAACAATGCACCTAGTAACCTCAGAACCCCCTCAACACCCCACCTACACTGGGCTCCACATACTCTTGTCTCTGAACAATAGTAAAGATTTCTCTGTCCTTAGTAATAATCAGATTTGGGCAGCTTCTCTTCGACTGTTGTCCCAATGTATCCTGGGGTAAAGTATAGCAGCGCCTATTTGGTCTGAACTTGCTTGGGGTGCATTGTAGTGAGGCAAACAGTGAGCTTTTATGGAAAATGTTCTATTTACCATCTTATGCCTTTTCATAGTTGGGTGTATATATGATAGAAATCAATGCATTATGGGAAGGGACATGCACAATGGAAAAAAGTGAAGATATAATGTAATTCATCAGTCAAAACAGAGAACAACCTCAATTATGACCTTTAGTAGCCATTCTCTCCTTCATTAGACCCCATGAAAAGAGACCCAGGCTATAGTAGCCTGAGACCCTCACTTACTTTCACATATGTGGCCTGCTGTCAATCTTGATAGACTGTACTATCCCTTTTCTCTGAACAACGTCATAGAAAATCTGTGTGAGCCTTAACTTTCAATTCTTTGGATAAGACACAAAGAACCTGGAATCAGCTGGCTGGGATCCCAAACACACATAAACATATTTATACTGTAGAATATTATGTAGACAGTGGAATAAATGAAGTGGATGTTCAAGATATTGATAAGTGAATATAACATTAAATATTTATGTTAAAAACAAAAATAAAACATACATGCATACACACATATATATATAATATATATATATAGAATATATATATATGTTGGTTTTCAGTCATTGTTTCTGATTTTTAACTCCTTTCCTCAATGCAGGTCATAGAAAGTCCTGTGCCCCCTCCCTCACAGGTCTCTGACCGAAAAGCTCTTGGACCTGTCCTGGCTGATAAGGATCATAAAGCCTTCCTCATTCTAGAAGGGTTCCTCTCATAATTTAGAGGAAAGAATGCTGTACAGAGAGGCCAGGAAAAATGCTAGGCAGGCCTGGCTTGGCTTCCACACCCAGTCTAGTAACTATCATGCCTGTGTGATGAGATCTCCACCAAAACTCAGAAGAGAAACTGCCAGATAGCTGAACCTGTGGAACTTCCAGGGAAGGACAGGCAAGTTGGTGGCCCTCTCACCAATCTGTCCTCTGTCCCTTGCACACCTGGCCAGCGAATACATGTAAGTGTTCCCGGAGATCTGTGACCCACTTGAGCAAGTGGGAACCCCAGTCGTCAGGGGCGGGGTGAGTGAACAACCTAGGGCTCACAACTGGCCTGGAAAGTGGACAGAGGGCAGCCTCGGGGAATGACCTTTGACTCATTGCGCCTGGTGCTATCTCAACAAAGCAAGTGTTAGAAGTCAATTGGAGTCTACGACATCCACCTGGTCTCTGCTACTGGAAAAAAAAAACGTTTACTTGCTTGCTTCGTGTGTGTGGGAAAACTGTATTTCTGGTGTCTCAAGTGCTCTGTGCTGTGTGAGTGGAGGAGGAGAAATTGAAAGGTGGGATTGGTTTTTCCTTTCTGTCTCCAGGGTGAATGAAACAAGGCAGCACACGCCGATGCTCGAACCGCCACGTGGAAGTCTCAGTGTTCAACTGCGAAGCCCAGAGCAGGGAAGACACACAGATCCAGGAGAGAGAGTGGAGTGTGGGACAGGAAGAGAAGGAGTGTACGTTTCTGCTTTACTGTTCATCTACGTTTCTTGACTACTATGTGAGGGAAGCCATGCCTATCTTGTGCTTAGCAAGGGGGAGTGACAGTTGGTTAACTCGGCAGAGCTGTGTGATTGGTTTTGCAGCTTTATTCTTTTCGTTATTGTTATCCACAATCCCACAAGTCTGTAGAAGAAACTTATTTTCCCGTTTGAGTATCTCAAAGGCCTTTAATGTAGCTGAAAGTGCACCAAAACCTGAACACAGAAGAAAAATTCTACAACCCAAATACCTGCTGTAGGGTCTATTTTCACTGGTTATGATTTAAATTTTTTTTGAAATAGGGTCTCGTGTAGCGCAGGCTAGCCTCCACCGCGCTTCATAGCTGAGGATGACCTTGAACTTTTTATTCTCCTGCCTCCACACCTCCCTCGCGTGCCATCACCCTGACTTTATAGATCTGCTCCTAGGCAGAAAATCTGGGGCTTCACACACACTAAGCAAGTGCTTTCCCAGGCATCTCAACCCCCTTTAATAGTTTTTTAACTTTTGTTTTAAAAAAGTGTTTTATTAATTCTACCTTTGTACAAAAACCAAGGAAGACATCTGTCCAATTACCACAAAGAAAGGGGCTTATCAGACTTGGAGTCTAAGCACATACTAATATTCATTTATTGTGTCAACAGTAGTTGTGTATGATTCAGGGAGTCAAGCAGTCTTTGCTGGCTGAGAACCTGCTTTGTAGCTGAGACTGGCCTTGAACTCACGATCCTTCTGTCTCCAACTACAGGTGCTAGGATTGCTGATGTATGCCATTAGGTCCAGTTTTGATTTTGTTTGTTGAGGTATGGCCTCCTTCTTGTAATCCTCCTGTCTCAGTCTCCTGAGTGTCGTGGAATATTAATTTAAAATGTGTTACGTTTATTTACACCATGGAACATTTGTTTAATAATGCAAAGATGTGTTGTATTATTTAATGTTTCATTTTTTTAACTCTGTGAAGATGTGTTACTTTTCCAGTCTAAAATACCTGGCCTAATAAAGAGCCGAATGGTGGCCAATAGCAAAGCAGGAGAAAGGATAGGCAGGGCTGGCAGGCAGAGAGGATATAAACAGAAGAAGAAATCTGGAAAGAAAAGATCAAGGAGGAAGAGATCAAGGAGTGAGAGAAGGAGAAGGACATCAGGGTAAGCCACCCATTAAACAGCCAGTCACAAAAGTAAAGAAAGGTACACAGAAAGGCCATGCATTCATAACAAATAATAAGACTCCATGTGTGATTTATTTGGGAGCTGGGTGGTGGCCCCCCAAAAAGCCAAAAAAGTAAAACAAACAAACAAAAAACAAACCACCAACACCTTAGTGCTGATGTTCCAGATGTGCACCACTACACTTGAGTGCCAGGATTCCAGGTATGTACTGCACTACCTGAGTGCTAGTATTTCAGGTGTGCAACACCACACCTGAGTGCTGGTAGTCCAGGTGTGTGCCACCAACAGCTGAGTGCTAGTAGTCCAGGTGTGCACCACCACATCTGA